AAAAAAAAAAAAAAAGGAAAAAAAAGCCGTAGTCTTGCAATTTACCTCCCTCTTTTGAGATTCATGATTTGTGGAAGTTCAACAATAGCCTGGAACAATTGCGTTGAGCAATTTTTTATTACAATGGAACGCTCAGTCGAAGGAGTCTCGCTGGGTTGTCCCTGTTTCGAGGAGAATTTTTTAATTTGGCGCCCAGCTGGTAGTAATCCTCATAGATTCTGCTCGTTGGCAGAAAAATAATTAGATTTTTAATTACAGAAGATGATCACTCTCCACTTGTACTCCCGGGGCCGCTCTATAGAAAGAGGCACAGTACCCTCCTTTATTAATGGGGAAACCTGATTAAAAAGTTCAGCTTCCTCTCTCTCTCTTGAGAGGAAATCTGCTATTGTCTTTGAAGCGACGTAGCGCCAACGACGTAGGCTTCCATCGTTCAACATTCATCGAAGGAATTTCCAATACAGCGTAGTCGGCTCAATTGCCAGCTTTGACAACAAAAGTCGAGCTCTGGCTGATTGAGAATGAAATACCGCGACCACGGTAACGTCGAGAGTACTCACTTGAACAGATGCTTGGCGCCGGCGTGCGAACGTAATTTTGTACGCTGCTATATCGCTTTTCTCGTTCGCGTTGTTGTTCCTCTGGTATATGAACCCTTTTCGCGGTGTGAACGTAACCGTCGGATTTCAATTCGTTGAAGAGCGAGATGATCTACATACAGAATTTTCATTCTATCTGTTTTGAAATTAGTTTCGTATTCTAGCCTCTGATTATAATACTATGACTAAGAATTTTTGAGATCGAATTTTTTTTTTAACTTTCTAGATGATTAGATAATTGTTCTACTTGTCGAAAGTCGGCGATTCATGGTCGCATTAGATACTAGTATCATTCCTGTAAGTAATTGGAACACGAATATCATGTTTATAAATTTCACTTTTTTTTTTTTTTTTTTTTTTTTAATATTTCACGTGCATCAAGCATCGCGGTTAGTCTAATTGCTGAAAGTTCAATAACATTTCCCCACACCGAAACGTCTGATAATGTTAAAAAAGAACGAAAGTTGAAGCGATCTAGGAGGGGTAATCATTGACTAACGAGATTTGAGGAATTCCGCTGAACGGCACGTTTTCCATTGTGGTTAGATCAAAGCTCCCGTTTGCTGGGTTCTCACGCAAGGACAATCATTATCCCTGTGAAAGAAGGAGCCCAGCGTGCGATGGGAATAAGTCTTGCAGGACCTTTCTCTGAATAGGGCCGATAGGGTCGTACAAAAGATTTGCCCAACGAAAAATATCCTTCTAGCTATTTCGTGTTTCCTCGGGAGATCCTTCGAACCGATTACCACGAAAAAAGATCCGGCGTTAAAATATTTCGTCTTTCGAAAACGGAAACGTTCGACTTGCCCAACCAAAGACAAGTGCAATTTAACACAGTATACTTTCGATGAAAGGAAAAGGAAAATACATTGGTCCCAAGGCATAAAGCCTCTGCTTTAACAAGATTGAATTCGTTTTCTTCTAAAGGATGTTTTTACATCATGCAGCACGCAGGAAGATAAGTCTTTTATCCTTGGGAAATTCTTAAAAACGTCGAAAAATTTTACTTAGGTGTTAGATCCACTGTGGCCTTGAAGAGTGATATTTTCTGTTTGCAACTATTTCTTACAACTGTCTGATTTTTTTCCCGCCATTTGATCGAACTTTGAACAGCAGGGTCAGGAACTCCCGAATTTTTTGTCGCTCGACATTCAAAATTGAATGAGAATGGCAAAAAGGAATCGTACGACAGATTTTAGAGGCTCGTTGCAAAGAGAAGACTTCGATCTTGC